TCGAAAATGAGCTCTAGTTGAGACAGCAGCGAGACGCGCATATTAAAACAATCGCTCACGAATTAGAGTTTAAAGAAAACGACAGGTTCCAATTAGTAAACGGTCTCGTATATCACAAGAATAAAGATCGTTCGCGATTTGTCGTCCCGGAATCGATGACGACCAATGTCATTCGAGTATACCATGACGACATGGCTCATTGTGGCATAGACAAGACCATACAAGGCATTTTAAATACATATTGGTTTCCTTCTATGAGACGAAAAGTCACGAACCACATCGACAATTGTTTAACGTGTCTAATGACCAATTCCTCTTCGCATACGCGCGAAGGTGATCTGCAGTTAGAACCTCTATCAAAAGATCCATTTAAATTAATTCATATAAATCATTTCGGTCCATTTCAGACAACAGACGACGGTTATCGTCATATCTTGGTAATTGTGGATTCGTTCACGCGTTTTACGTGGCTCTTCCCTACTAAGTCCACAAATACAAAAGAAGTCAATCTTCATTTGAAACGTCTTTTCGATATATTCTGGTCACCATATGAAATTGTCACAGACAGAGGCACTGCTTTCACCTCCGCCGAATTTCAATCATTTGTTAAGGATCAGTCGATTAAACATCGACTCGTCGCAGTAGCGTCACCTTGGGCGAATGGCTTGGTCGAAAGAGTCAACAGATTCATTAAATCCTCACTAAAAAAATTGTTAAATGTCCCAGCAGATTGAAAGACTTGTTTAAATAAAGTCCAATATGTATTAAATAATTCTTTTCATTCAAGCATTAAAAACACGCCTTCCAAGTTACTTCTCGGATCGTCGTAAACACGCCGACAGAATACTTATAGATCTCATCGATGATTTGCTTTCAATTGATAAAGATTTAGTTAAAGAAAGGCAGTCAGATTTCGATGTCGCATCTGAAGATGCCACCACTCAGAGAATTCGTGATTATAACAAAATTTATTACGACAGCAAACATGTCTCGCCTACACGGTATAAAACTTGCAATCGAAACCAGGACAAAGTTCAAAGTTAGATCCGCCGTATAAAATATAAAGGTCCGTATCAAATCACTAAAGTTTTAAAGCACAATAGATATTTAGTTTCGGACATACCGGGATTTAAAGGGTTATATCTGTTTGAAATTTTTTTTTCCATTTTTTTTTATTGGCTTAAAATACGCTAAAACATCCCTAGATTCATAATCAATAACGTCCTTGTGTAAACACAACTTAGAAATATTCTTAAAATTAATTTTTCTGGAACAACTCCGAAGCGTAAAAATAGCAAATTTCGATTGTATCGTCGACGCTGCATTTTTTAATCTCGCGCACATAAAAACGCCTCTAACTTATCGATCGTCGAGAATATACTTCAAAATTGAGTCATAGATGTCATTACATACTATAAAACCATTATTATAGACTGAATACTACGTCTTTACCACTGTGAGAGCACGTGTTTCGTCAATCAGCTGTACGCTGCAGTTCGAGTTGTAGTTCCGTGTTTGTGCTATTATTTTGACTCTATTTATCAGTGAAAAGTAGTGAAATATGAATGATAAGTTGTATGCAGGCCATAAAGGCAGTAAAAATCGAAGTACAGCGCATAGACGAAGCAAGATCGGAAATAGACGCCCGCCTAACCGTCATTCATTTGAGTGCGATTCGGAGTTCGTTAGCGCGTCGTCGAAAAAACTGAAACTGGATAATGATAAGTGTGAGGGATGTAGATGATACAACAGTTCTGTCGAGAGTTCTGGGTAGCCCCCGCAGAGTTCTGTCGAAAATCCTAATGACGAAAATCCGTAAAGTTTGAACTGAAAAAGTTACGAGCGATTATAGGTGTCCATTTTCGAAATTAGACGAGCAAAAAATTTTTTGAAGACTTCTGACAGTTCTGTCGAGAGTTCTGGGTAGCCCCCGCAGAGTTCTATAAAATATCTTAATGAGAAATTTGTGTAAAACTAACCCTGTGAAGCTAGCCACCCATTATTTAAAAAAATAATTTTTTTTGAGAGTTCTGAATAGATTTGCAATAGTTCCAGAGTTCCTGATAGATTTAAGAAATAGTTCCGGCCATTAAAGCCATAAAAACGCGATTTAAAAAATGGGGGGCTAACTTCACGCAGCTCCCCATTTCCGAAAAAAATAATTTTTATTAGAGTTCTAGATAGATTTTCAATAGTTCCAGAGTTCCTGATAGGTTTAAGAAATAGTTCTGTCCGAGAAAGTAAAAAAAACGTCATTGAAAAACCCGAAATTGACACTTAAAAAACAGCCATAACTTTGACAGTATCATTTTTACACAAATTTCTCATTAAGATATTTTATAGAACTCTGCGGGGGCTACCCAGAACTCTCGATAGAACTGTCAAAACTCTTCAAAAAATTTTTTGCTCATCTAATTTCGAAAATGGAACTATAATCGCTCGTAACTTCTTCAGTTCAAACTTTACGGATTTTCGTCATTAGGATTTTCGACAGAACTCTGCGGGGGCTACCCAGAACTCTCGACAGAACTGTTGTATATAATTGTTGAATATAAATTTGTTAATATATAATACATACCTTTTTTATATATAACAGTATGACCGCGAAATTATAAATACAACTACATTTTTTAATTAATATTTCTGTGCCGAATAAGATCCAACATTAAATACTCGAGGTTTTTTTATCTCTATAAAGCTAGCAGGATCAAATCAGCAAAATCAAATCGGACCTATTAAACCTTTTTGGACCTATTGGTACTCATTTTATACTAATTTGTACTCTCAATAAAATTTTGTTTTCTGTGCTGTTCTGAAAAAAAAACCGTTGCCCTGCTAGCTTAACATTAAACTGGCAGGACTAATTGAAATTAAAAGAAAAAAAGAATAAGAATATCAGAAATCAATATGATCAAATTTGTACTAATTTGTACTACGAAAAAAGTTCTAAATTATGTATCGTTTCTAAGGAAACGTGTCGTTGCTAGTTTAATGTTTAAGCTGGCAGTACCATAAAAAAAACAACCCAAGGGCAAAAATAAATTTGTATTAATTTGTACCATTGAAATTAAGTTAATATTTTTTTATCCTTACAATGACTTTGTTAATATATATACTTACAATCTATTTTTTAGTGATCTCAATAACAAAACGTTTATGAATTTGTAGCACTCGATTTTAATAAAAATATTTGTTTAATGAGCATTAAGTTAAGTCAAGCATTTTTTTAAGTCAAGTGTCGAGTTTCAGAAAGGTGATCTAATGATGGCTGGGAGATTAAAAATAATGGTACATTTTATGTATCAAATACAATTTGTATTATAAATGTTATAAAATAATTACAATTATTTTGTAAGGGGAAAAAATATAAAGTATTTACTTACTTTCAATGATACAAATTAGTACAAATTCAGTTTTGTTCATTTTGGTCCTTATGTTGTTTTTGTATGGTTCTGTCAGCTTAAATATTAAACTATCAGCACTGTTTTTTTTGAAAATGATACATATTATAGAATTTTTTTTGGTAGTTCAAATTAGTACAAATTCGATACTATTGATTTCTGATATTTTTTTCTTTTATTTTGTATTGGCCCTGCCAGCTTAGTGCTAAGCTAACAGCGCTACATCTTTTTTTTCAAAATAGCACAGGGTACAAAATTTTTATTGGACGTACGAATTTGTACTAAAAATTCCAGTAGGTCCGATTTGATTCTACTGATTTGATCCTGCTAACTTTATATATATATATATATATAAGAGAAAGCTGGGGTTTTTAATCTATTACCCCAATTTTTAATTTATTACTTTAAAACGCGTTTCACGTTTACAAGTATATGCTTGAAAGATATATTATAGGAAGTAGATAAGAAGGGATTAAATAATTGGAATTAGTAAACAAATTTTTGCCAAAGGAGAAATCGTCTCAGAATACGACCAGGAATATGACACACGTTTGTTTAACTACATTAATTTGTAACAATATGTGTATGAGCCATTTTCATAACAATTCGATGCAAAGTTTATCAGTACACATTGTTTCGAATTACTTTGTAATACATTTTAATATTATTTAATTCAATTTGCTAGCTATGGAAAACGACAAATGAATAAATTTTTTGAAATGGATATAAGTATTTTTTATAAGCAATATACTTATGATGCTATCTTTTTAGAAGTTAAAATTGCATTCATATTGGTAGATATTTCCAAAGATTAAAGAGTTAATTATAAATAGGATTAAAGATAATTATAATGTTTAAGAATAAAGCAAGTCCTAAGGAATTTCCTTTTTATAATTAATAATTATCTTAAAACTGATTTAGAAAGATGATTATTTTCATTGTTACGTTCCATTTATTTTTTATTATATTTTATTATTGTTGTGAGGATTGCGAGGAGAAAGTACCGGAAACCAGGTCCGCTGGTGACGGTCGGAATTGTACACGAACGATCACGAGGAATCGGAAGGTGTCGAAAAGAAGATAGTCAGAGCGATATACAATGCGATGTGCTGCTGAGATTTATTCAGGGATGGGAAAGTTACTTTATAAAAGTAATTAATTACCGTTACAAGTTATTGACTCTGAAAAGTAATTCGTTACAGTTACAAAAGTTACAAAAGTAACTTTAAGTTACTTTTAAGTTACTTTTTTCATCGGAATTTTCACTAAGCATTTCGATATTATTAGGGCTGCATTCAGAAACGTTATCAGACTGCCTTCGTGTATCGTTTTATTCTTATTTTTCACCTAATATTAACCAAGGATGATACACAGGGTCATCAGAGTAATGCAGCCTAGGACAATCAAAAGAAAAAGTCTGGTTTACATTTACATGTTATACAATTTTATTCAAAAAGATAAGAAAATGGCAAAAGACGTTTTTCATTAAAGTAATGTAAACAAATATGAAATAGCACACATATACAATGTTTTTTGTAAAAAAAAATTCTTTTTATATTCGGCTAAAAGTTGGAAATAAATTCCAGCTAATCCAAAATGTTAATAAAAATTCTTATTAATTTTTAACAGAATTTGGTATTCGATTGTATCATCGTGTAAATTCCCTCTCTGTGGCGTTACTATGGAACCACCAATACTGAACATTCGTTCGACAGGAGCACTACTTGGGAGTGCCGTGTTATATTTAATGAAGAATTTTTTTATTCTGTGATAATCATTTAACATGTCAACATTGGAACTATTGAACTTTAGAAAACGGTATAATTCTTCTTGTAAAGATTCGGTTTCTTTTGTTCGTTGGTTAAAATGAAAAAAATCGTCATGATCGATGGATTTTTCACTAACTGGGGAACTTTCAGTAGATTTAATACCGAATAATTCTTCTAAATAAGTTTTAGCTTGCTTCTTTTTTTCTCCGTCTATCCAGTTTAACTTGAATTTCGGATGCAAAGAACTTGCGATGATTAAGTTCTTATCCTCAAATAATGTCGAGAATCTAAAATAAATTAAATATAAATTAATTGGAACGGCGTACTTGCAAACAACTTAATTGCACACACCATTCACATCAGTTGGTTCCTAGTAATTTTTCACTATTTCATCACTGTAATTATATTAGCCAATTAGTGATGTGAGCAATTAATATACAACCATAAATTAAGTAATTTTATGTTTTTGAAAATTTTACAATTTAAGCAATCTTTTAATTATGGGAGATGTAGAAAATATAGATGCAGAAAATTTGTTTACTCTTCTACCACATTATAAATGTCTGATAATGAGACATACATTGAATCTTATCGCGATGAAAGATTCTGAGAAAGTATGTATAAGATGTATAAGAAAAAATATAGAATGAGACATTTTCTAAACTATATATATTATAGTAAAACTGTTATTTAAAAATAATAGAGCACAATGAAATTAACAAAGTACCTTTTATTTAAACCTTCTTGAATAGCCGTAATAAGCGCCTGACAATGGGTAAATCCGTTTTTGTTGAATTTTTCCATTTTTTCTTGTAAAGTTTTCAGACCTGGTAGTAAAAATCCCATATACATCCCTGTTTCCCCCTGTATTATATCCAAGGCTCGGGCCAAAGGTTCCATAATCTAATCGAAATAAAAAAGTGAGATACATTCCACTTTATATATTAGTATATTACTATCTAGATGCACCTGACAATATTCTTCTAGGAATTTAATTTCATTTTCTGTTAGTCTTTGCAAATTGCAATAATCCAGACACTGATTAATTTTTTCGGAATCATTTTTCAAAAGTTTTACTAGTTGCAGTACTGAATCAAAAGTAGAGTTCCATCTGTATTAAAATAAAGATTAGAAAATGAGATAAAAATTTAAATAACTGTTTTTATTATTTTGAGACAAAATATAATAGTGAGATATATAGTAATGATAAATATAAAAACGCGAAGTAGAAATTAATGGTTCAACCAATGATTAATATTTGATGATATAATAAAGTAATATAATGATGATATAATAAAATAAGTAAATAAGTATATATAAAATTTATTCAATCTAAGGCCAATATTCATAACCAATTTTTATTTCAAAATTGTAATCAGAGCTGATGAAAAAGGCCTTTATTATCCAATCCACACACTGATAAAAGCATTACACCAATCACCAGTCTTAAAACTAAATCGATCTTTTATTTATTGGGTGTATTCCAAACCGGGTTAGCTTAGCTTATTTTTTCTCCTAGATGTTGGCATTTCCGTAACTAAACCGAGAAGTGTTCCAAATCCGTCGGCTCTCATAACTAATAGAAGCCAGTAGCTGAGTTTGACGGCCGATAGGTTCGTAACTAAAAACACTTCCCGGTTTTTAGTTACGGAACTGCCAACATCTAAGAGAAAAAATAAGCTAAGCTAATCCGATTCGGAATACATCCACTATCTTCTGCAATAAAAAATCTTCTTACCTAGTAATTACAGGAGTTTTTAAGTAGACACTACAAATTTCCTTTATTTTATCAGCTGTTTGTGTTGACTGATTTTGCTTATTCCAAAGTTTTATTAGTTTAGCGAATGTCATTCTATATTTCTTCTTGTATACAGCATCACTGTCTAAAGCTTTATCACAATCTTTCACTGCTATAAGATTCAATGTATGACTTGCATATCTATGATGTGGTGGAAGAATAAATGAACTTTCTGGATCTATATTTTCCACATCATCAATAATTAAAAGATCACTTAGACTATGAAATTCTGTATTAATAGATTCTTCATCTTCATCCTTCTGGAAACTTCTATAATTTTTATTTTTTAAATTACATTAAACTCTTATGTTAATTATCTCGTACTTTATTTAATTACATCTGTAGTATTTAATTACATTTTATTTATATTAATTATATAGATATATCAATTAAAAAAATTTTTTAAAGAGTATATAAAATATATAACCATAAACTTACTGGAAGGCTTTAACAAAATTTGATCCGTTGTCGGTTGTTGTACCACATACTTTATTTTGGATATGGTATTCGAGAAAGACTGAACTAATTGCCTGAGCTAAAACGTCGTATGTATGTTTGCCTTTTATTCTGCGACAAGCTAGTGCAGCCGATTCTCTCTCTAAAGTTTCAGGATTAATCCAGTGTACAGTAATTCCTAAGTAACTTCTACAAATATAAATTTTAACAAAATAATAAACACACAATAATGTATATATACTATATAATGTATTACAATTTACTTAAAAAATTTTAATAATATTTTCTAGGTAAATATTACTACATTTTTTCAGTTCTAATAAACTGCGGCGATTCACTTTGTTGGACTTGAAACGCAATCTACGACTAAAAGTAATATCACAAACTATTACATTGAGCGATAATTTTAATAATGGCTACGTTTTGACATTCACCACCAGTACTAAAAATCTATAACGTATGTCACATACACTATAAATTTTAAATACTTGTAGTAAATATCGGAATATAATCTATTATACTAGCCAACATCTTAAAACACTGCAAAGAATTTATTAAAATTATATAACTCTTACTAATATAAAGTTAAATAATAATGCTCGTTATTGAAATTATAATATAAACTCTCGAGAGAAACGGCCAAACACAAGCTAACAATATAATGGATGTTAAAATAATATTAATTAAATTTAATATATTAGATACATTAAAAATTTAAACGAAACTACTTTCGACTTCACAAAGTCTTCATCAGTCGTATATGATTTACAAAATATAAATTAACTTGAACATAATAAAAGATTAAATTGTGTGACTATTAATTTTTATCTTTGCGACATTTGTTAGTTCGTTTTTGGCCATTTCTCTCAATAGAGTTTATTAATATAAGTTATACATATTATATCTTTTTCCTTTGCTCCACAAATCTGCCGTTGTCGCAACTATTTCTATTTCTGCCAACTTTTTTTCCAGGGCATTCTTCATTCTATGATACATTTGACAAAGTCTTTCTTTTAATGTCTTTCTGCACATTATATTAACATGTGAAGGAAGTCCAATTCTAATCAAATTGATAAATGATGGACTATCTACAATGGACAGAGGTTGAATATTTTCAACAATAAACTGTAGTATTGCTTTATCCAGTCCTTTTTGAGTAGCCATTGAACTCCCAGCACCCCATCTTTCCAATGTATATTTATTTGGAAAATTATTTACGGAATCTTCATTTGGACGTTTCTTTGACAACTTAATTTTTTCTTTATCTATGGTGTCCAAAAGGTGTGGATGTTTTGCCTATAAATATTATAATTAGAAATTGTTTATATTAAAAATTCATTTATTCCAGCTTTAACTTGTTATACCTACTGTTGTACGTATATTTAATTTAGGGTTGAATATTTCACATAACTGAATAGATTCCACGGAAATCTAAGTTTAATTAAAAAAAAAATAAAAAAATATATTAATTTCTTTCTAACATTATTATTAAAATATTACTCATATTTAACTAATATTTATCTAAAAACACAATTAGCAAAAAGATCGTCTAATAAGAATATGGTACGGTACTTTGTGCACGTATATAAATTATAATTAAATACTTATATACACACAAAGTACCGCGCCATACTCTTATTAACTGATATTTTTGTTAATTTTATTTTTGATATCAAAGTCTTATCACTTTCTTCTTTATCTATCTAAATCTTCGTTTTATTATATATATTTTGACGATATAATTTTATTATATACAAGGTGAAACATTTAAATTGAGATATTCGAATATCTTGAGAAAAAGCATTTAAAAAAAAACGTTCCAAATTACAGTTACAAGAAGTCTTTGCTAATTTTTACAGAAAAAAATTAATTTTAATATATAATAGGCTCTTTAAT